AAAGAACTCAAGAAGAAAGAAACGAAAAGGGGAAAGAAAAAAAAGTTGAATACTCCGTACGTACGGAGCACAGCTTTAACCGGTTGAAAAGGTTGTTTTCCGGTAAATAGGGTCAAATTGATTGTTTTTATTAAGTTAATGTGTTTAAGTGATGTTTTTATTAGTAGGTGGGTCTATGTGATGGTTTGATGATACTAGAAGGGTCTATTTGACCCTTTTTCCTATGAATAAAGTAGTTTACACTAACAGATTTTGTCAATTTTATAGTAAATACTCCCTCCGTCTTTTAAAACTTTGACATCTTTCCTTTTTGGGGCGTCCCAAAAAACTTAGCCACTTTCACTTTTTATCAATTATTTCGTGGTTTCTGTTATTTCTCTCTCCTCTGCACAAACCTCAACCGCACAGTTTTTACTTTATTATTCTCCGTGCCGGTCAACTTTGACAAAGTTTTAAGGGACGGGGGTAGAAGTAGGGAAAACTATCAAATAGGCCCTCCCAACTTTTCAGAAAAATCAATTAAGCCCACATACTAATAATTCGTCCAATTAAACCCTCGAACCTACTAACAAATGTCAAAACCTCTTTTTAACCAGTAATGAATAAGTTACTAGGTTACTTGTACACGTGGCCACAATTTTTCTATTTTTCCCCATTTTTCTCTTTTCCCTTTCTTTTTTCTTTCTTTTTTCCCTATCCTCCACGGTCTTTCTCCTTCAACCAGCGTTCCACCCCTTTCTAGCAAACTTCAGCCCACCCCTTCCTCCATCTTCTTCCAATCCCCCACCCACCCTTTCGTCTGCCCCTTTCTTCTTTCTTGCGCCACCAATCGCTTGTCGTCCGGCAATGGAGTCCGAAAGAAACCTAGATCGCCGGAAATGCTCAAGTACCCCTCACACGCCGGTCATCCCCTTTCCGCGAATTCATCGCACCTAGTTCTCCATTGAACCTTTCAACGCAAGTCGGCGTTCCATGAAACTTCCAGATCGATTCCAGATACGCAGCTTCAATTTGGCCATCTTCTAATCGGCGGCAGATAAGAGGTAGAGAAGAGGCAGAGGCGCACGGAGGGAGTGAATTGAGCCTGAGGAACGACTCACAGAGAACTGGAGGGGGGGGGGGGGGAGAAGAGAATGGGGAAATGACGTGCACTTTGTCGTGTATGCACTCAAAATAAATATCAATACGACACTAATACGTAGTATAGTGTAGTAAGGTTCGTATCCACAGGGAAAGGAACACTTCTCTTTTTATAGAATTAGAAATAAGTAACAAGGGGGGTTTTATGATTGGTTTATGAACTTAAATTGTATTTAAACACAAAGATGAACGAGTTATGTGGTTTAATTAATGAGAAGAAGACTTGGCTTTGCTTTTATGCACTAAATGAAATGTTCATCGATCCCGATTATATCTTTAACTATTTTCCTCTCGAATACTCAATCGAGGAGTATATCCAATTCATCGAGGGTAGTTATTAATAACGAGACGCGTTCATTAATAAAACTTACTACCGAGTTAATATAGAACACGCGCCATATATTCACTCGATAGTAGCAATAAAATAGAGATGAAAACGATGGAGATTGATAACCTCAACACAAGTGGTTTATCGGTTTAATCAATATAATTAATTCCCCTTAGGTTATTAACCATGAGACGCATGCATTAACAACCCAAGTTTACTACCGTGAAAGGATCGAATTAATGACAAGCGTATTAATCGACCGATTCTAGTATTGATTAATATATAAAACAAAACTAGATGATCCTTTAAGTAATGCTCAAAATATTAATATGTAATAGGAATAGGAATTAATTAATATTCAAGGAAGAAGATTAAAGAAAATAACTCACAACTTAGTGAACTTACAATTCATTAAGCTTCAAAGTAGCAAAACCAAGATGGAAGAGTTTAGCTCCTCATTTGGGACTAAACATGATAGAAAATATAAAGAAAACACTAATCTAAACTGAGCTAAAGAGTATATGTGAATTGGTGATTTTATTGTGAAGGAAAGATGTGTATTTATAGGCTTTTGGGAGCTGCAGGGTCTGATACCCGATCGGGTATATAGGATACCCGATCGGGTATCTTAGGAAATTGCCCAGAAAGTCACTTTTCTGGGCATACCCGATCGGGTATGTCGGCATACCCGATCGGGTATGTGATAAATCTTCACGAAAATTTGCTCCCACGATCATTTGTTCCCGGATTTGATTTGGACAATCGAATCAAGCTAATACCGGATCGGGTATAGGCAATACCCGACCGGGTACATGAGTATTTTTTCCAAATCGAAATCTTTCTTGTCTCCTTGCACTTTCCTTGATATTTTAAGGTCCAATCTTGATCCCTTGGATGATCTTTGACCTGTTTAGCTCAGAATAATCCTAATCTAAACAAATTACAAATAAAAATGAAAATAAAATATTACACCAAAAGTGTGTAATTTTCACAACTAGAACTAATAAAAACTAGTTAAAAATACAAACATACAATCAGAAATTACACGAATATCAGGAAAGAAAGAGAAAGGGAGAAGTTGCAGGGAGAACTGACACAGGGAAGAAGGAAGCACTAAAGAAAGTGCAGGGAAGAAGAAAGAAAAGAGGAAAGAAAAAGAAAATGAAAAAAATGCCACATCACATGCCACGTATGCAATTCAACCGGAAATTGAGATGTTACCTACTAAAAAGAGAATTTGACATTTTTTGAGGAGTCGGAGGGTTTGATTGAATAAATTTCCAGTACGAGGACTTAATTGATTTTTTTGAAAAGTTGAAGGGCTTATTTGATACTTTTCCCCTAATAGTATGTGTAATATTATGTAATTCTTTTTTTTTTGCTATAATATTATGTAATTCTATTACATATTTAGTTCTAATATTTTTTTATTTAATTATATGTACAATACTTTCAAGGTATATTATAACTATGCACTTGAGTATTCGCGTGGATACTGCTTTTTAACAACTTATACTTGGAAAGTAAATTATAAAGCAAAAAAATGTGAAAATTTATAGAAACGCAATTAGCTCATTTATCATATATAAACCATTTGCATAGCTCTCAAAAAAATATGTAGTCATTTTTTGTTAAAAAATTACTTGAAACGGCTAACAGAGAGTTAAGAAAATTGTATTTTTAGGGATAGAAAAAATTGTTTTTTTGTTATGGTTATAGGCAGAATTGCAGCAGATGGGTTCATTTGCTGCGGTTCCAGCTATAATCGCAACAAATAACCCGTTTTTCGATAATTTTAGATTTAGTTTGTTTCATGCTCGGTTATCGAGTTAAGGTTTTATAAAACCATATACGTAGTACTTTTAGAGATCTATGCGCACAATGATTTAATTTACTTTTAAAGAACTACATTTTTTACTTCGGTGTAGCTACTTACTACGCTTTTAGAGTGCCCTTTTACATAACCTCTGATACATTTCGGTAGTATTATATTAGAGCATCTCCAATAATTGCTTCTAGGGACTTGCTTGCAATTTTGAAGCTATTAGCCCACCATTGGAGTGCATCTTTGTTTCTAGCTTGGACAAGCAAATTATAGCAACTCCAACGGTTAGCTAATTACCTTCATAGCTTGATTAGCCACATAAGCATTTGCAGCAAAATTAAAATTTACTCCAATGGTTAGCTATGTCATCTTCCTCTTCATTTATTATTAATAATGTTATATTTAGTAATTTATTTGCTCAAACTAGTAGCTCATTTTGGCTAATTAGTTTTCTCAAGCAAAAGGTTAAACAATGTTCCAATGGCAAGCTATTAGCTTTAAAATTGCAAGCAAGTCCTCAATAGGGACCATTGGAGATGCTCTTAACCAAAACAAGCTAATTGCTAGAAAGGAGAGAAACTTGGATTAAAATGGTAAGTATCAAATATATTTAATTTATTTGTAATTGATATATTATATTAATTAATTATGCAACGGTAAAGTGAGTAATACAACGATCAAGTTCCAAATTAAAAATGATTTCAATCTCTTTTTCTTAATTATATATACCGAATGGTTTTAAAAGTTAGTTTAACAATATTTTATCCTACTCCCCCACCACTCTTATTTTTTCATACGTAAAAATTTAGTGTACTCTTCAAATGGATGACTATTAAAACCTATACAACAAGTATTACTCCATTCTGAAAAACTCTTCAAGCACCGAAAATCCAAACTCTCAAAATTTTACCTCGCATATATCAACCCCAATAATTCCTACAGTCCAGCCAATTTTCCAAAATTTTCATCCAAGAAGAGATGCCAATCAATATCATCGACATCGTTATGATACAAATTTTTCATTTCCACGAAATAAAGGATTGCATGATCGTCCTGGATATTATAATCCGCATATCCTTATTTTTTTTACTTAAAAAATACATTTTATTTTTCTAATTTTAATAATATGCATTTTCATCCGTGTTGGGCGTTGGATTAATGTTTGGTCAAAGTCATAGTTGATTAATATTTTTTTATTGTATTAACAAATCAATTCACTCAAAATGTGTATTTTAAAATTGATTAATTTGTGGGGCCTATTCAAGAGACAAGCATTGTGGCTTACCATTGGACTATCACATTGCTTGAAAATGGATTAGCTAGAAAAAATGATGTGACAAACAAAACTACAACATGTTTAGCTAACCATTGGAGATACTCTTAGTGCACCATCCTGCTTTTCTAGCTCAATCTAGCATTTAATATATTGTATTAATTAATGAGATATGTAACGTTTCAACATTTGTAACCGTTAAAACATTTTAGCCATAGATTATCTACGATTTTAATGTAATTATTAAAGGAGTCCCGGTAAGTTTCAGTGTTATATATCTGGTCTTCAATCTACCATGTATATGATCATAAAAAGATTGTTTTTGCCTAAAGAATATGACCTGTGCAAATTAAAGTGCGGCATGCAAAGGGCCTCCGATCCCCTCCTAAGTCGGCAAAATATATAAATGCAAGTGATATTTAATTTGTTGGGATTATGCAATCCATATATTTTCAGATAAAAAAAATAAGTTTTATACATATATATTCCTAAAACATTATCGATCAAAGTAATTTGAGCAGTTGTAATCCTTCAGATCCTGAATTTATATATATATGTAGATGTCAAAGATTGGTTGCAGAAGCAAAGGCGGGAGCAATCGTTCATCACTGCAATGGTTATTCAGAATTACTATTGTTCTTCAGTTCCTCTTCCTAATGGTTGTTTACTCGGCCGATAATGCATCCACAGATATTAGGTACGTATGTCTATTTTTAATCAATGGTAATTTGTTCAAAACTTTCATTTAGTATATCGGTGGGGTCTGGCCCAATTATTCCCCAAACCAAATACTATGTACGATAGTATAATTTGTTTTCTATTCATTTGGTAGCAATATAATTCTTTTAATCAAATTTAGAGCCTTTTTGGTGATTCTGTTTTTCGATTTATCAGCCTTATCAGTCAACTTTTTAACCGATCACGCAACTTTTGATTTCGCACGCTGAATTTCGTAATTATAAGAAAAAGTAGGTTGTAGATACTTTTCTGACTGTATTGACTGAAGTTATTTTAGATGACCATTTTAAATATATTTTTTAATATAAATTTTTCTTTATTTTTTTAATAAAATATATTTAAATATAATCTTCACATAAATAATCAGAATCAGCTAATACAACCACTTCAGTTAAAACATCATAAATTTCAGCAGAATTAATCGATTAAACCGATTTGAGTGTTACCGAGGCTCTTAAACTGAACCCCACCAAAATGGAATATAACGAATAACGTACAAATTAATCGAACAATCAAAATGAATCAAAAGAAACCCAATTTTATACCCCGTATTACGTTACGGCTCGTTTAATTTCTAAATGTTTGCCATTTTTAGAATGTTGACTTAAAAAATTTGTCCTTTTTTAAATCAATGGATAATTTGAGTTTGCACCCCATTTTATTGTGCGTTTTTAAGAAACTTTGTTTTTGCACTCTAACCCTCATATGAAAAACAAAATTGCCCCTCCATTAACAATTCCTAGTTGAGGGCATTTTTGTCTTTTCAAATAGGGTAGGGGTGCAAAAACAAAGATTTTGAAAAATGGGGTGCACCGTCCAATTTGGACAATAAAATGGGATGCAAACTCAAATTATCCCTACAATCAAACAAATCTGTGCTTTTGATACTGTTTTACTCGTAGTATTTAAGATGTTTTTACTTGGACTGTAATTTGTACCAGATCAGACTTGGGTAGTTATAAAAATACAAAGAAATCAGACCAGATCAAACCAGACCAGTAAATTACAGTCTAAGTAAAAAACATCCTTATGCCTATCCAATTTTTCGTCATATAATAAAATTGCAGGTTAAATTCGACAAATACTGGCCAGAAAGTTTCACAGCCTCTGAGATTGGATGTCACGAAAAAACATGTAAATTAATCACTGAGCTTTCACAATTATGCAGTGCTTCATCATAATTCGATGAACATCAGAGGGTTTTGATCTTTTGCTATCTCTCTATGCTTGATCTCATTATGGTTTCTTACTTTACTGATTCCGGGAAACATTAATAACATGATACTAATAGTAACACAAATGTTCATGAACGGAATTCCGGAGAGGAACACGCCGTCCGGACGGTAGCGTTTGGCCGCCTTCCCAGTGGCTTTTTTTGATGAAATTTTTATGGCATGTTCTCCATCAAGTCTAATTTATCCACAAAACAATTCAGCCAACAACTCAATCGGGAAGGTTGTCAAATGATTTTTGCAAGTTAACTGGTCCGGAACATGTATTTTCCGGACCAGTTAACTTGCAAAAATCATTTGATGACCTTCCCGAATGAGTTTTGGGCTGAATTTTTTTTGGATAAACTATACTTGATGGAGAACATGTGATAAAAATTTCATCCAAAAATTCCACCCGGAAGGCGGCCAAACGCCGCCGTCCGGACGGCGGTTCCGGTCAGGAATTCCTGACCAGAAGAGTACTCCTAATAGTAAAATACACATAAAATAAATTTTAACCTTTCAATTTCGATCAGATGACGTCACATATATATGACGTTAGTAAACTAGACCAAAGTAGAAAAATTCAATTCAAACAAAAACATTTAAGTGGTGTCCATTTTTTGTAATTATTTTGAGTTTCTAATTTCAAGTATTAATAAGGATGTTTTTACTTGGACGGTAATTTGCTGGTCTGGTCTGATCTGATCTGGTCTGAATTGGTCAAATCTGATCGGGTTTCTTTGTATTTTTATAACTACCCAAGTCTGGAAGTCTGATCTGATCTGATCTAATATGGGACAGATTACAGTCCAACTAAAAACATCCTAATTTATAACACATCAGTTTGTTTTTTCATTTTTAGACTTCGTAATTTTTTATTGGAAACTATAGGGTTTTGAAAAGATTAATAAAAATTTTGGAGTGTTGGGTAGTGTAGTGTTGGGTAGTAGTGTAAAAAGCATTACAGAATGGATGAAGATAATGTATGATAGAAAGATGAATACTAGATGGTTTTTTTTTTTTTTTACAAGAATATTACTAAAATAAAACTTATTTATATAAATATGACTATTCATTACTACTTTACTACAACATAGTGTTGTGGTAATTTAAGTTCAAAATTTGAACATGAATTACTATGATTTCATTATTACTCTAGTAACTAATCATATTTTTGTAAACCATCTTTTTTGGTTATATATATGTAATTATTTCTAGATAAAATTGGGAATATATGAAAAATCATAATACAAATAAAAACTACTCATCCGTTCCATTAAAAGTCTCATTATTCCTTTTTAAGAAATCTCACTAAGATTATTTCATATTACATTTGATAAAATTTGTGTTGCTCTAAATCATTTTTCTCTATTCTTATTTTATCAATTCAATATAAATCACATAAACTCAATTTTCTTAATAACCATGTCACCATCCTCTTGTCTCAATGTTAGTGGGACGGCGGTAGTAACTCTTAATATAGCAAATAAAAAATAGTAAGTGCCTACTTTTAGTACATTATCTAAATACATAAATCTAATTATTGATACTTATTTAAGTTTTAACATTCAACATTTAAGTTTAGGAATTTATATTTGTACACAAAATTAGTATGCAAATTGTACATTCTCTAGTTGTCTGTGTACACATAGAATTAATTTAAAAAAATTATAATTGTCTATTAGGTACCTGTAATAGAACAAGAATTAATGTGATGTGGAAACTTTAAACAACAACCCACGGGTTGTATTTTTGAAAGATGCTCTGTGTACACATTTTTGTGTAGACATTTTATACATTCATCTGTTGCACGGATAAATAATTGTCTGTCCACAAACAATTCTGTAGAATTATTTGTCCATAAACAATTCTGTAAGCAATTATAATTGTGCGTGAGACAGACAAATGTAGAATTGTCAATAGCACAACTCTATTTCTTTTGTGTGAGATTTTGGTTCGGAATGACTTATTTGACAGGTGGTAATGGAAAACGGTCACATAAAAGTAACGTTCACTAATCCAACCGGATCCATTGCAGCAATTGAATACAATGGAACTGATAACGTATTGGAACATTCCAGAAAGGAAACCGATAGAGCGTAAGATCCCTTCCCTCCTCATTCGTGCTTCAAACCTATGTACATAATTTAAGAAATGGGACCGAAACACGACCCGGATGTGATGAGGTCACGTATCAACTCGGACTCATTCGAATTCACCCGGTCAATGCCATAAAGCCGGTCAACCATGTAATACTTTCTCCGTTCCAATACAATGAGCACATTTGCGTTTTCAAACATTTTTAGGAGGAACACTGTTTGGCACTGTTTGGACACTGTTTGTAATTCTTTTGTACTGTTTTGTTTGCCAAAAAGGGAAATGTGCCATTTATATTGGGACGACCCAAAAAGGAAAATGTGTCTTTTATATTGGGACGGAGAGAGTAATAAATATATAATTGTATTCAAAATGTAAAGAAAACACCATTATTATTTCATAATAATCATTTGATAACAATATTTATTAAACATTTAAAAGTTAAATGTGACCCGCTAGTTACATGGGTTTTTACTTTTACATGGCCTCTTCTAGAGAGGTTTTAGTCTTATCCCCATTTTTTGGTTAAAAATGCATTAAAAAAACCGGATTCCACGTTTTTGGATTTTTCCATCCTTTGACCATTTCTGGATTTTTAACTAACTGAACCCGGTATTGGTCCGGGTTGCTGGATTCCAGGTTGACCGGCTGGTCTGGGTCATTTTTTAAACATAGCTTCAAACTTATCCGTTTTATCCATTTTCTTTTAATTTTATACTTGGCCTATCGGGTCTACATCAACATCTAAAAATTTAGTCTACCGAATTTATCAAGGAAACATAGACAACAATAATCTTACTTTTAACTAATCTGTTCATAATAATTCCACTTTTTTTTACGTAATTCCAGAATAATCCCACTTTTGCAGCCCATACTCTTTCATTGAACCCTGACCGGTTGATGACATACCATAACGGGGTTTTTGCCTTTTCTTTGAAAACCTAATATAAATAATCTCATCTTTCACAAATCTGTTCAAAGCAATCCCACATTTCATTTTTATCTTTTTTCATCTTCTTATTATTTCATTTATTTGATCTATTTATGTTTTTGCTTTTTTTTTTCTCAATAGTTTTTTTCTTTCTTTTTCTTCTCCATTTTTACTTTCCTTTTTATGTATTACTATTCGGTTAATTCTCTTTTAAAGACTATTATCTCACATTACTCATTCGTTATTATTTTATTTTTTATTTCACGTTTTCTTTTCTCTAAATTCTCCTTGTCCTTTTTTTGTCTTTTCACCTTCCTAAAAAGTATTTGTTTTTTTGTCCCTTTTCACCCATTCTATTTTCACCTTCTTTTGGCATGTTAGTGAATATTGACAATTTCTTGATCTAGATTTCTTCTAATTTTTTCTCCTTTTCGAATAATGTTTCTCACATCAACCCTTCTTCGTGTAAAGAGTATGTAATTTTTCCTTTCTTACATTTCCTGGATTGTTTTATTTTTCTGTGAATTTTATTTTTCCCTAATCTTTTTATCACAAATATTTTTTCCATTAGTTGATAAAATCTATGAGAGAATTTACTTAGAAAAATACAATGATGCAGAAAAGGAGAAAAATATATATTGATGATTGAATTAAGGTGACAAGAAGAAGAAAAAAGAAGAAAAAATATAAAGTAAATAAAAAGAGAATATAAAAAAGGAGTATAATTTAAGAAATTTCCAAATTATTTCTTTTCTTTTCTTTCCTTAAATTTTCCACTCACACCGATCAAATGTAGACTATTGCTGTCAATTTTTTCATTTATGAGTCAATTTAAGACTTGATAGATAAATGAATTATAATTTATTAATAAGAAGCATAAGAAAGTGATTGATTCTTCTCTTATTTCAGGGAATGGGATATTGTTTGGAGTACACCGAAAAGGCCTAACAAGTTTGATATGTGTGTTCTCAAACTCAGGGCATCTTTTTAATTCTCTTTTCAAGATTCTATAGAAAATGCTTATCATACCAATGCACCATACTTTTTCATCACTAAATGTTTGTACTTTGATTCTTTTTAATTCTTTCAACCAACTAATGTTTTAACGATTTATTTTTAAAAATAGGAGTTCCTTAGTCCTATTAGTCCGATTTTGAAAGAAATTAATAACAGTACTCCTTTTTTTTAATAGTGAATTTCATTGAAAAAAATAAACAGTACAATGCGAAAAAGAAATGGAAGAAAGAAAATACTACTATGAGAGGCATAACTACGTTGAGAGTACTCCTATTTGAGAAAATAACTAGTATTCACTATAGAGAAAGAAAAGCCTAATAAGAGTACTCCTATTTAAGAAACTGTGTTATACTTTACTCCTATTTTATTTTAGGTAATTTTGAGTTTTAAAAATTTTCATTTAGTAGATGGCAAAGAAAAATTCAATTAGTTGGGGGATCTATGTAGATCAAGCTGACGAATATATCTTACCATGCATGCATGTTGGACCCGCACGCAGTCTTTTCGCAACAAATTTCACAGTGATAGTCGACGATGAAAAGCAGATCGAGCTTTCTTTTACAAAATCTTTTCAATCCCATGATGATGCAAGTGCTCCCGTCATTGTTGACAAAAGGTGTGTTGCTCGTACTAATATTATCCTAGTTCCTTTGAAATAATTAAAGGGTAAACGTTAAATAGAGTACAAGAAACAAAATGCAATGAAAGTACAATAATTAAGGAGTTAAACAATTCAGAGAAAATATCATGTTAGTTTTGTACTAGCAAGCTTGGTTTGAAGTTGCGTTTGATTATTCCTCGAGGTCGTCTCAATATGTATTTTGGATTTTTTGGAAGTGACTATGGTGAAATCATCATCCTCTATACCGTGAAACCATCACCCTCTAAAGGTGTTGTGGAGCAGCTTTAGTGTCTAATATCTAAGTCACTTGAAATATTTAGCTTTTTCGCTAATTTCTTTTTGAGCTTTTGATTAAAGTCTCTTTTGTATGTCTAAAATTCCCGCTTTAATATCTGCAAGGAGTGCCTGATACTCTTCTTTTAAGTTTGCAACAGGAGGTTCATAAAAAACGTCATAAGCATTTGCAAAGCTAAGTTAAATTCTCAAATTCTCCGCAATTCAATCCCTCCCCTCCCTTTTGGACCGCAAAGCTTTTCCCGGCCATATGGTCCATCTAATATCTCCATTATCACCCCCATTCCACCAGATACCATTTATCAGTCTTTCCAGTTCTAGACTTAGTTCCTTAGGCAAAAGAAACATATTCATAGCATAGTTTGGGATTTCTAGAATGACATTCTTAACAACACTTCTCTGCTCGGTTTTTACCCATTTGTGATGCAGTTTCATGTTCAAAGTAATGCATGGTTGCGATGACATTTTTGAATTACTTTTAACCAAACTGATACATTGACGACAGACTTAGAGACTAGATCTTAAATTTGATGTTGCTGATTCGTTTGCTTAGGATGTTTTTACTTGGACTGTAATTTGTCCCAAACCAGACCAGTCCAGGCCAGACCAGACTAGTTCAGACCAGACCAGATCAGACTTGGATAGTTATAAAAATACAAAGAAACCAGACCTTACCAGACTAGACCAGACCAGTTCAGACCAGACCAAACCAGCAAATTACAGTCCAAGTAAAAACATCCTTATTGTTTATTCTAGAAGATGACTTTTTTATTTGAAGCAAAATATATCATTTAGAATGACTTAAAAATTGTTATCTACATCCATCAAATAGTGCAGGTATGTGCTCCAGCCTGGGCGTTCAGGATTTTACACATACGCAATATTTTATCACCCTCAAGGATGGCCAGATATGGACATTGGTGAAGCAAGGATTGCCTTTAACCTAAGAAAAAGCATGTAAGTTCATTTGGTTAAACAAAAAAAAAACTTGCATATTTTTTATTATTTTCTTTAGTCTATTATATTTCATTTGTCCTCTTCACACACTTTAAAAATAGAAAACAATACAATCTACTAGTAGTCCATAATATTGAAAAGCGTTCATGTAAAATGAGAAATATTAAATCCTTTAAATATATTTTAAGAATCCAAATACATAGTATATTACTAATTTACCAAAATAAAAAACTGGAATCATATTTCAAATAATTTGAATATGTGACTGCACTTCAAATTCTTTTAAAGATTCAAAATAAAGTAGAACTATATTTATATACTTTTATGTATGAAAACGAGATACTCCAATTATAGGGAATAATAGAAACAAGACTATGCATACAGTTCAATACTCCAATTATTTCATTGCAATTCTCTCTTAATTGTCTAGTTGTAGCATATATAATCGTCCCTTTTATTTCAAACCCTTATTACCCTCCTTCTATTTAAATGAGATCAGCTGGAAGGGAAATGGGATTGCAACAAGAGCAGACAACCTTGATAATGATTAAATAAAAATCATGCATTTAAACCCACAAGAACGGAAGCCTAGATCATGATTAATACCCCTTCATCAATCCCAAATCCTTAATTCAAACGATTTACAATTCATAATTGAAAAATCAGCAGAATTGAGATGGAAAGAATTATTTTTCATTAATTAAGAAGAGAGAAAGCATTCACAAACAATCCTAGAATTTTGAAGATCCAATGCTGAAAAATGGAATAAAATAAAATTCGTCCTGAGGTTGTTTTTAAACTCAACCTAACCTAAAATCGGGGTTTACAGGCTGTTTAAATAGAACACAGTGAAAACAGGCTGAATTTGGGCTTTTTGGGCCGAAATGGGACCGCATACAGCGTGCACACCTCATGTTTGAATTTGGCTATGCTTCCATCAACAAATTTGTAGCTAATGAATCCCTCTATTCATCACAATTTGAAAATCTGGAATTGGATCATCCAATCAAAAGATATAAATGAAATGGTGGAAGGTCGCATCATGAAATCTCAATAGCGATTATTTATCTTCCTCGTTTGTTTTAATCTTGATCCTCTCACATTATCTTCATGGTGTCTGCATATGATTTCTAGCCCATTGAGTTATCGTTCATATGAAACTTGAATCGTTTCATTTCGATGTTTCTACGAAAAGATACACTCAAACAATTGATAAAACGTCATCCTTGAACTCCACGTTTTTTCTTGTACTTATTCCTTGAGCTCCCATGACTTCAAACCTGCATAATTGATTCCTCATACACCTTCAATGCCTTTTATCAACTCTCAATTGTGTTAAATCTCCCAAAACAATTCTCTCATGCCGGTGTCGGGCTTAGTTCCCTGATTTTCACTCTAAAATTACCAAAAACAAACCAAAACCCGGTAAACTATGACTTGAGCTAATTTAGCGCTTTGTGATACAAATAGGTTAGGAAAATTGACCAAACTCTCCTTGGGTGTGTTATTTTATTTTTTGGGTCTTGAGGCTGTGGAACAGGAAAAAAGTGTTCGTCACTCAACAAACACACACAAACACACACATTGTGTGCGTGCAATCCTCCATGGCAGACTCTTAACTCACCCAATGATTATATGTCATTGCATGATTGATCCACATCCTATCTCACCTCTTGCTGCCGCCAGAAGCTCTCATAATCGGCGCACACGCATGTGCATGACGTTGTATTTCTGGTCAGAGTTTTGATCGGGAATTATCTTTCAGCTCTCCAACACATCTTCAACCATCTCTGAAGTTTATTTTTTGATACGCGTAGGGCTCGAATTCTCTCTTGTTTGACAAAACCTAGGATCGAGCTTCATATTTTCTTAAATTCCGTAATAGTCAACAGGTTTTATTCTTTAGTCTCCATATTTTGATTCATGTACAAGAACCTAACGGTAATTAAGTCTACATTGATCGACTGATATCCAATATCTTTTTTTACTGCTGATAAAAAACAAATGTCTTCACATTGTGATACGAAAACCTCTGTCATATTAAATAACCAACATTTGATAGTATCTAAAGTTATTCCAATTAACTTTAAAATAACTGAGAATATAATAAACTTTGTGACTCCAGTTGTCTTGAGTGGAGAAAAACTACCAAATGTTAGTTGAGGAACACCGATAAATACATCCACTTGGTTGATGAACCACCACATGAGGAAATTGACAAAGTCACTAATAATGATGTTTGGCTTTGTTGATGATTCAAAAGTCCATGTAGAATGACGTAATATGTATGTTAGTCATTATGATACTATGATAGAATTGTTTGATTGTTTGGAATTTATGTATCCTACCAAAGATAACCTTACCATATGTAGGATGTCTGCAAAGCCTTTTATAGAGATGAAATGAAATAAGCCTCTAATGGCTTATTTTATGGATTTCACAAAAACATATGAAGGGTTAATACATTAACAACATTAAATCCTGATAACAAAATGCAGGAGAGACAGCAAAAACAAGTGGTAGTCATGAATTTTTTGTCAAGTCTTACGTGAGATTTTGAAAAGCCAAAGCACATGTCGTCTAGTGTTGTGGTATCTTCTATTCAAGACACACTTAGTAGAGTGCGTCACACTCAACTTTCATCCACATCATCAACAACTCAGTCAAATAATGCATTCGTAAGGAAAACTGGCCATGTGTTGGCCCATTGGCAAAGGAGTAATATGCAACTACTAAAAGAAACTCGGGCTTATGATAAAAAATGTAGGAAATTGAAGTTCAAAAATCAAGGAAATCAGGTTGCTCACATTGCTTCTGCTACACAATCATTTAATGGATCAATTACCATTTCTTCGAGGAATCTGAGAAATTTCTTGGCTTCCACACTTATCTCGACTGATTCGGGTAATCCAAGCACATATCTTGTTTTTCATCCTCAAAACGCGTTATTGACACTAGAGCAACATCTCACATGACAAGTAATCATAGACCTTTTTCCTCATTCCAAACTCCCATACATACTTCTAATGTTACTTGGTCGATGGGTCTACCTCACTAGTCTTTGGGTTGGGTACAATTGTCCCAATCTTTACCTTACATTTGTCACCAGTCTTAAGTCTTCCCATCTTTGATTTTGATTTCATTTTGATTAGTTAAATCACACATATGCTTAACCATTATGTAACTTTTTTCCTGGATATTGCGTATTTCAGGATCTGCTGACAAATTAGATTATTGGTAAAGGATATGATTCGGTCAGTGTGTTTGATACATCATTACCCAAAGCCATCTCTTTTTATGGGATTGAAATTGTATTAAACGCTCACTACCAACTATGAAACCCATCTCTCCTGTTGTTGAAGACACTACATTCTCAATATAATAAGGTGGTATCTTTACGGCGTGATTCATGTGCATATTTAAATCATCGTTGCACTAGTTTAAGTACTTGAGTCAATAGATGAGGACATGTTCTTTTGAACTTGTTCATTCAGATGTGTTGGGGCGTTTGTTTGGGTTATTTTCTCATTTTCTTGCCTTTTGTGCTGAAATCAAAACTCAATTTAATGTCCTTGTTCATGTTTTAAGAGTATTTGCCTGCCTTATTTAAGTTGTATATCTCTCAACATGACGTCATTCACAAAACTTCCAGCATACACCCACCTCCTTTAATGGGGTTGATGAACGTATGAAGAAGCATCTATTAGAAATTGGGTGAACTCTTCTCTTCTAACTGAATGTGCCTAAATAGTTTTTGGCAGACGGTGTGTCTGCCGCATGTTTTTTGATCAATCGAATGCGGTCTAGCTTTTATTTTGGCTCCATATCAGTGCTTATTTCCAAAATGAACCTTTTCCTATACTGCCTAAAATATTTGGTTGCACTTGTTTTGTTCGAGATGGCAATCTCCATATAACAAAGTGTATACCTCAAGTTTTTATCCAAGTATAGGTCGGTATCTTGTTTTAATTGATGTCTCGTTTTTTGAAAATACACATTTTCATCACCAAAAGGAGATACTTGTAGGGAGAATGAAGATACTCATTTACACAATCACTATACATGAGTCTACACCTTCGACAAGTACACCGTATCTTACCATTCCCGGCCTCAGGTCTCTTGGTTTACACTCGTCGAAACAAAGCATCTATGACGCCTTATCCCAGTCCGATCTCATGTCCTTTACCAATGCCATCATCTTAATATTCACATCCTACCACATATATTGACCTCCCGATAGCACTACGTAAAAGTATACGGTCTTGTACTCCTCATGTTCTTTCTTTCGTATCAAATGATCATCTCTCCCTCACCTAATCTTAATATTTACATATTTTGACCTCCCGAGAAATGCAGTGATAGAGAAAATGAAAGCTTTGGATCTTAATGGTACTTGAGATTTGGTGGACTTGCCTAAAGGGAAGAGATCTATTAGATGTAAATGGGGCCTTTGATGTTAGGGTTCATCGGGGTACGTGATCCATTGCTCGGTTGAAAGCTCGAATCATCGATAACAATTATTCTTAGACCTATGGTATTGATTATTCTGACATTTTTTCTCATGTTGCTAAATTAACATATGTGAAGTTACTTATTTCCCTTTCTGCTACTCATGGTTGGCACTTACATGAACTGGACATTAAAATGTGTTCCTGCACGGTGATGTCCGGGAGGAAGTGTATATCGAGCAACCTACAAGATTCATTGCTCGTGGCGATATGGGAGAGTTTGCTGAATTCACATGTCTCTTTATGGCTTGAAATAAAGCCTGCATGCATGATTTGGAAAGTGTAGTCAATCAATTGATCAATTTAGAATGATATAAGGCCAATCAGATCACCTTATCTTTCATAATCAAATGAAAGCAGGTATTGCATTACTTGTAGTGTATGTCAATGATATTGTGATTACAGAGAATGATGAGGCTTTCCTTCATAGCCAATTCGAGGTAAATCGGAGTAACAAAGACATATACTCCCTCTGTTCTTTTTTAATTGCAACATTTTCCTTTTCGGGCAGTTTCAATTTAATTGCAATATTACCTTTACAGGGAATGATGAACATACTACCCTTATCTAATAAAGTAATTCTCCGCACTCAATCCATCTGCTCCACAAAATCCATCCGCTTCAGTTTTCACCCATCTGCCCATGCCTCTTTCCTTGTTCCCAATTCTTCCATTTCCCATTCTACTGTAACTATTTCTTCATCTTTTCCCTCATTTTTTAATCTAAAAATTCACCCCATTCACAACAATCAACAAAAACAATTATGAAGGAGAGCCTAGGCCATGATTACCATCTCCCTAGTCATTTCCTACGGATGTTAGAGCTCAACCTTGGAGGTCCGCCATTAATGGCCGTCTGAAAGCTTCGCTCATGGCCAACAGCAACAACCTAAAGAGTCTCCAGCAATGAAGGTAGAACCAGACTAGAGTGGGTCCTCCGCTTTCTCCGACGACACGTGCTTCCCGATCGCGCCGACGACTGAGGGCATCTTCGGCTACCTGGAGGTTTCATCCATTACGCATTAGCCTTCTCGTCATGTTTCCTAGATCTTCAAGGAGTTTGAAACTCACTGTTGTGGCATGTGTTGGAGATTTCTTTCCTCCAATTTTTTTCCTCCAATTTCTTCTGTCTTTTCATCTTGTTTGTTGCTTCCGTCAAGAGCCGTAAAACATTAGTAGCAGTACGCGTGCAGAAGAAGGGTAGAATAGGAAACAAATTACTTTATGACTCTTTTTTAATTTGTGTGCCATTGGGATATGTTGCATCTAATTTGGAACGGAGGATAGTATCTATCTCAACGTAAATATTCAATTGATTTACTAGCTGAAAGGGGAAATGTATTCTGGGCCAAATCAAACAATACTCGAATGGTTCCCAATTTGTATCTTAATCACGAAGGTATGTCATTCAAAGATCCAAAAAATATAAATGATTAGTTGAAAGATTAGTTATCTCACAGTTACTTGTCCAGATATTGCTTACCCAGTGAATATAGTAAGTCAATATATGTCATCTTGGACAGTTGATCATTGGACTGCATTAGAGCATTTACTATGTTACTTGAAGATGATGTTGATTGGGCTGGACCTAAAGATGATAGAAGATCTACATTGGGCTATTGTATCTTTGTTGGTGGTAACATGGTCTCCTGGAAAAGTAAGAAGCAGAATGTGGTTTCTCATTCTAGTGCTGAATCATAATATAGAGTCATGGCTTAGTTTTCATGTGAGATAGTCTAGATAAATCATTTATTAAGTGGAATCAAATGGAAGAAACTAATGCCTGTGAAACTATGGTAAGTCGCTATACACATTGCCAATAACATGTTCTCTAATTGTTCTCTAATTTCAAAATCCAATACCTTAGAAAGTAGATTGAACCTTTGATAATTTAGAGAACAATCAATGAATTAGATTTTGAAATCTATCTAGCCCCATTTAAATGGATGGATATTGGCATTGAAGCACCATGTAGCTTGAAGGTATTGGAGCTACCAATAATGATCTTATGGGAGATCAGTGTTACTCATTGATTAAGGGCATAACCCTTTGATTAGGCCCAACCTCCTGGCACCACGATGTGATGCAGCTCCTCATGTCCATCTATCGCTCAGTAGTGGGCCCTGGACTGCCGTAGTGAACTGTGAGCCCCACAGGAATCTACCTTGACTCAAGGACTACAGGCTAATTTATTAAATAGATGGTGTGCACCGACTTATCACCATTTGGTTTTAAGAAGAATATGACTGCTATTTAACCATAGAACTTTGTAGTTAAGCGAGCCTGAGAGTACGAAAGCACAAGAATGGGTGACTCACTGTGAAGTTTGTCAAAAGGGGTGAATTGATCCTACAATGCTATCAAAGCGAGGTCATAGGTGAATCTCTAGGCTGGTGTTTGGGTGATTGTTGGTCTTATGGAGGATCATCACTACCCTTTGATTCGGGGCATAACAATTTGATTAGGATTGACTTGTTGGCACCACGATGTGGACAACTCCTCATGTCCATCTACCGGTCAGTAGTGGGCTCTGCACTGCTGTAGTGAATTGTGGGGGTGCCTCATTGGAATTTACCTTGATTTGGGGACTGCAGAGTAATATGTTAAATAGAGGGTGTCTACCTCCTTACAACCTATTGGTTTTAATAAGAAGGATATGTCTGCTACTTAACTATAGAACTATGTAGTTAAGCTAGTCTGGGGGTAAAAAAGCTCAAGGATAGCTGAGCCACTGAGAATTTTATCGAAAGGGGTAAATCGATCCTACCATAGAAATTAATATGGTAAGATAAGTTATAATTAAGTTGGAATTCTCACCATGAAGTTGATCTACAAAGAAACATAAATTAAACTATCCAAATTCTATTAAACTATATTCAAGTGAACGGCCTTAATCTTTATTAAGTAGATGGTGTTAATTTTTGAAGATGTCTTGTTACAGTTATGGATTAGGACTTGTTATGTGATTAGAATTGTATCCAATCTTAACTTATAAATATCTTTGAAATACTATTATCATATGTAGTTCGTATGTTTTCAAAACATAAAAATGATTAATAAATTATTTAAAAAACTATACACACTGGATATTATTATGTTATCAAATATGAATTAAGAGTTGTTACATTAAATATGCTAAACCTATTTATGGGGTTATTTCTCATATTAAAAAGGTATTGGTGATCAAAGGTCAGTATTATATTTTATTTATAAATGCGTATATGTAGGTTTAGTTATATGGCTATATCAGATGACTTGCAAAGAGTGATGCCAACTGCAAATGATCGGAAATCCGGTGAGAAACTAGCCTTCAAAGAAGCTGCTTTACTAACTCATCCATCCAATAGTAGTTTGAGAGGGGAGGTAATACCATATATCTCTAATTTTCATTGTTCCGAAGGGTGTGTCACACCTATATATTGTAGAGGGTGGGAGGAAAATAAGGAGACTCTAATGTAGAATAGTTTATTTTCTTCACTTCAATTCATCAGACTACTAGACTCATACAATGGAGGGGATAGTCTAATCAACATCATCTTATAAACCGTTTTCATATTCATATGTAAATTATTAATCCAGAAATCGCAAAAGACTTGTCATATTTCTAGGTTATTAAATGAACCCAGAAACTTACAAGGATTATCAAAAGAAATCTAATTTATTACTTCCATGTTTAATTATTATCCAACCATAATGATTCCCTTAATTTAATCTTTCTTCCCACTCCCAAACTATTAGTGCCATTTTCTGAAGACTTGTGCACTGAGCGACTTTGTAAAAATATCGGCCCCTTTTGATATTCGACCTTGCAATACTCCTTTTAAATTTCTCCTTCATTCACAATCTCTCTCAAGAAATGATATCGGAAGCAGATTTCCTTTGTCCTCAAATGAAGAGCTAGATCCTTTTTAACTAAAATTGTTGAGTGATTGTAACAAAACAAGGTGGTTTTGACTTATGTTTCTTATGTTTCAGACTTTCCAATAATCCTCGCAACCAAACTAGTTGACATCCTGCATACGATGCAGCGAATCATCTTCCATAGTAGAGAGCACCACAATTGATTTTTCTTTGAGCTCCATGTAACCGTATTGGTACCAAGATAACATATCCACAAGTGTTTCTACTACTATCAATACTTCCTGCTTGGTCGCTATCAACATAACTAACAATATTGATTGATTTGTCAAAATTCATTACACCACCTCTAACAAATATATAATCAAATAAACAAAAGGTTCATTTTAATGGACTTGAAAGGGTAATCCATTGCATGAATATATGTGTGCAAATGTAAAGTGGTCAACCCTTAGTCATACAACAATCCATGTCGTGCAATGCAATCCACATATTGCTTTCTATCCTCTTGACCAAATTCAAGATATTTCAAGTCAGTTTGTTTTCACTGTGGAGAATTTGACACGTCATAGATATTCATCTCTTTTTCTGCATTGAGCATGGCACACCAGATGCTTTGAATTATTTTCATTCATAAATAGCCTCTTAAACCATGGAATCATCATAAGATACCATAAAACTTTGGCGGGAGTATTTCTATTTTCACCCTCACTGGCACCATTTGTGCTAGTCTTTCTCTTGTATCGTGAGAGATGACATCTTGGACATTCATTCAAGCTTTCATACTCACTTTGATATAATATTCAATCGAATGGACAAACATGAATCTTCTTCCATTCAATTCTCATTGGACACAAACTTTGGTTGTCCTTATAAGTTTTTTATTTTTGCGCCGGTTTTCACCAGGAAGCGCAATGGAATGGACAAACATGAATCGCATGTTTCTTTTTAGATTTCAATTTTTGCGCTGGTTTTTACCTAGACAATCGCCAATTTTCTAAAAAAATAAATCAAAAAAGGGCGGCGGTTGTGTAGTTAGCAAGCGCCGCGCGTGTCCTGGCTTATTTTTTAAAATTTGTGGCGTTTATTATAGAACCGCCGCTTATGATGTGTTGCAAATCGATCAGTTTCCACTAGTGAACCCATGATGAGTAAGTATAATGTAAAGAACATCAACCATTTTATATAGATAAATTAGATATTTTTTAAATAAAAATTGTTGTGACAACATCATAAATAAATGCACTGGAACGGTACAAGAATTCTTCACAAAATTTCATTGTTTTGTATTATAAGTGCATTGCATGTGTATGTACTGTTTATTCCTATACTTTTGTCCAATACCATTTTGTTTCATCTATGATGCACTTACTACAAACTGGTGCACTTTATAAAAAATGCATGTGGAATATATATATGACATATATGTTGCTAAACTATTATGAACTCTTAATCATTTTATATTTAGGTGGATGATAAGTACCAATATTCTTTAGAAAATAAAGACATTAAAGTACATGGATGGATTTGTCCAGCGCCCCATATTGGATTTTGGATCATCACAGGTAGTAGTGAATTCCTTTCAGGTGGCCCAATAAAACAAGATCTTACGTCTCATGTTGGTCCAACTTCTTTAATGGTATGTATATTCTTGATATTACTTAACTTCAAAATATCTTTAATCTAAGATTACTAATAACTTTTGAATAAACCAATTAAGTAAAAGTGTAAAACAAAGCAATATCAATCTAAATTATTCCTTATTTATATTATGAGTTGTTTTCATATTTTTTATTGTATATGATCCTGTGTTTATATTTAATACTTGAATTGAATATGTAATTATAGTTTTTTAGTGTGTTCAAGTTTATTAGGTTTTATTAGAATACATGAAACTTAAATCTATCTTGCTGAAAGTTCCCTTTTGTCATATATTTCACAGTGTCTCTTATATTAGTATTGCGACTTAGTATTTCAATTTTGTGATATACTTTTCCGATCTATTTTGTAAATTTAATGTTAAACATATATTATATCCGTCTAAATATTTTGGGAATTAAAAATAAAAATATGGAACACCGATTATGAAATCAAGATCATGAACAAATTGGAACGTCACAAAGATCATCAAATATAGCACATCAAACATTTACTAGAACATACACTAAAAGAAACAATGGGAGTTATATAAACTCAATCAAATAGAAGAAGTGTGATTTTATAACATTTTTAATACTTTTATATATTTATCATTCCTCGGTATATACAACCCACTACAAGTGAGTTGTATTAGAACATAAAATTACTATAAACATTTCATTTATTTATTGTAGATGTATGTTGCTAGCTTACCTTTGAACATGTAATTATCCTCTCCACAAATATTGCATATAGTCTACCGCATAGTTAGGTAGGTGCAATTCATATTTAAAAAACTATATTGTAGTTATGTCTTGCATGTTATATATACAACAGTATATCCATTGTATTTAATATTAAGAAATAAAATCTTTTCATTGTATCTAGATAACCAAAAAAATCAAATCCAAGTTTTTTGTTGGTTCATTCACAATGCTCATCACACACACACACAGAATACACTCATTTGTGCTCTCACATCAAACACCTATTTTCCGATCCCATAAAACTCCCAACATCCAATTTTTCAATATTGGAATGTAAAGTTCACTCCTCTTATCCGTGTTGGTCTAGATGGCTATGTAGATCCACCATCATCCCAAATCACTACTCTGATTCTGCAAAGCCACAACTATGAGAAGCGCTTCCTTTGAAGATGCTCTGCAATTATATATTATTTTTTTGTTTAAATCGAGTTCATGATTTTTATTTTAAAAAAAGTACTACAATAGTTGTTCTACTTGAAGAAATGTGAAACATTTTATTCCTAATTATAGAATTACCATATGTTGCCTTTTGAGTTAGCTTAGCCTGTATATACTCTGCATATACATTTCCCTATTTCAGGTATTCTTTAGCGATCATTATACAGGCGAAGGGTTTACACTAAGCTTGCGAAATGGGGAGAGTTGGACAAAGGTTTTCGGTCCCATTTTTATATACCTCAATTCAGACTCAAGCAAAAACCCATCAACCCTTTGGAGAGACGCTCAGAATACGGTGATCATTCTTTCTTTCTTTAAAGAATTAATTTTGATTAAAACCGATCATCACCGTTTAGTATTCTATTAATGAATTATAAAACCTATGATATTAATTATATTAAATGTCTTGTGTTGAACATTCTTCAACACATGCAATCATAGCCACCTATATATACTTAGTCTTAATTATATATGTATAGTTCGAGAGGCGGATTATGTAGGAATTTGAGTAGGACCTCGCTGTGGAATACTTGTATTTGGCAAACATTAGTGGAGTGTGCTTAATATGAAAAATGAAAAATTTTACATTAAAACATTTGAAAAAAATTAAGCATATTGCATATGTTCATAAGTTTTCTTTATATACATTCTTTCTCCATTATTTCTCATTGATAATGGGAAAACATTAGGAATAATAACATATATGTGATTAAAATAAAGGTTCTTTACAAAAAAAGTGACATCTTATGTGTAATGACTATAATAGTAACTTAGTCATAGTGATTTACATTAAATTGTTATACCTAAGTGACCATATATGGCACTATAATATACTACTGCTCGTAATTATTAGTTATATTTTTGTAAATAAGTTTTATTTCATATTTGTATTTAGAAAACCTCATTTAACTAAAAATTATGTGTGCGCTCAATCAACCTATTGTTATTTTGTACTTAGATTGTTGTAAGATATTGTTTTAATTTTCTTAAAATATTTATTAACTTTTGTGTGTCAGGCTACCCAAGAAAATAGAAATTGGCCCTATGATTTTCCGAAATCACACCACTACCCTGACAGAGATTTTCGGGGTACACTTAAAGGCCGACTACGAGTTCGTGATAGGTGACATTTCAGTCTTTTTATTTTTGGTATTCTACTAATCTACGTACTCTCTATATATGAATGCGCTCATTATTATCATTGTATGTATGTTGCTGAATGGGTATGTAACATAATGTATGTGTTGATGATAATGTATCTGTGTAGGTTTTTAAGTTCAGGGTTTGTAGAGGCAGAATCTGCACACATTGGGTTGGCCCCTCCGGGGGATGCTGGATCATGGCAACGAGATGTCAAGGTTCATATGACAAACCATTTCTAAATAAATTGATCGGCTAATAATGAAATATTAAGAATAAAATAGAGTTGATCGATAAAAATATGATCCCTTACTCAAACTGATCATATTCATAAATCTTAATGATTTCGGTTATGCTCAATAATATTATATCGTAGTGACCATGAAATTATGTAAATAATAATTTTGATCATATTTTTGTACATAAACTTTATTTGAGTTATATTCTAGGAAGAATCTATCTCATAATAAATAAGATAGATCAGATGGTATTGAGAGCCATATTTGCAAAGCAGGAAGGTTTACTAATTAAGAGCAATACATTAAAGACTAACACTCTATGAAGAATATAACAAATGTTGAAACAAAAATCAAAAGAAAGGGATGAACTGTCAATTGTCATATATATAAGAAGTAAAATTTATGAGATGGTGAAATCAAAACAAAGTGGTTAACTACTCCCTCCGCCCAAATTTGTGAGCGAAGAAGAAATCCTAGGAGAGTGCGGCGGTCTCCCCTGGCCATAGCCTTCCGATTTATCCAACGATAGAGAACAAATTAACAATTCACACCAGCTTCGTCCGGTATCTTTATGGGCTTCGTGCGCAATTAAGGTGTGCTTTAGTTCTTCTTCTTCTTCATTGTTAGGTTTTCTCCATGTTTGTTCTGTTCGGTTGAGTGTTCTCTGACCCAGGGTTTGGTCTGTTCCAATTGAGAACGTGTTATTGGGAAAAACTCCGGGCTTTACCGTTTCGTGAAGTTAAGATAGGCACTTAGGAAATAAGGTACCAATGGGAGCACACGATTTTAATTCTCCAATATGAAGATTCTTCCACTATACAAAAGAATAGTAGGATTTACAAGGGCCGGCCGCTCTTGCAGACACGAATAGTTTTTGCTCCGGCCAACCGATCAACGAGCAACAACAGTCATGGTTGCCCCCAAGAAGACTAAGAAGACCCATGAAAGCATTAACAACAGGCTTGCTCTGGTCATGAAGAGTGGAAAATACACTTTGGGATACAAAACCGTTCTCAAGTCTCTCAGAAGCTCTAAAGGAAAGCTGATAATAATTTCCAACAACTGCCCTCCTCTTAGAAAGTCTGAGATAGAGTATTATGCCATGTTGGCAAAGGATGGAGTTCACCATTACAATGGAAACAATGTTGATTTGGGAACTGCATGTGGCAAGTATTACATAGTGTGTTGCCTCAGCATTATTGATCCCGGTGATTCTGACATTATTAAGAGCATGCCAACTGACCAGTAAGAGATATAGGTGTCTAATTGCTGGCCTGGATTATTTTCTTCTTTCCATGACATCCTTCAGTTTTTGTTTTTGTAATGTTTCAAAATATGACTGTTGTTTTTATCCTTTTTCAACAATCTTCATTGTTGACAGTATTCCTTGTAAGGTTTTGCCATTGATTTTATATTATGATGATTAATGTAAAAAAATAATAGTAGGATTTACAAGGATATTACAAAATTGTCTCACTCAATGGTGGCTCACTCAAGCTTGAGGATGATGTCTTCCCAAGCTATCTCTCTTCTCTCTCAAAGAGGCTCTCTAACTTTCTCACTCTAGAAGTGGATTCACTCTTGACTAGGATGGTTAGGAATGAAGGCCTCTACTCCTATTTATACTATTCCACCTTCACAATGAATGGTGGTGATGATTTCTATCCAAGTGTGGAGATTGATTCTCTAGAATGCTCCACACACTCTAGGAGTCTCTATACTCTTCCATTCTCTTCCATATCCTTCCATACTCTTCCATAAGCTTCCCGAAGGTTTCACACATCTCTAGAATATTCTAGAGGATTCCACACTATTCCACAAACTTCTAGAGAGTTCTAGACTTCTCTAGCATCCTCCGGAACTTTCTAGAAAATTCTATACTTCTCCAGAAAGTTCTACAATTTTCTAGAACGTACCTCTCCAATTAAGGAGGGATCCCAACACGTGTTTGGACTCGTGATTGTGTGTTCTGTTTCTTTTTTCATGTCTCGGATATGGTGATCATTTTGTTGCTTCTTTTTCTTTGTTGCTTTTATTTAAATATTTTTTGTTTAGTTACATCCCATTTTAGTAGCAAATTCAGCAGTGTTGTTAGATTAATCTACATCATCGTGGGGTTAGGGAATACGATCGGTCCTTGGGGGTAATCGATTCTATGTCTCATTAAAGTGTAGCCTTGAGCTATTGTATTGCTTTATCTCTTATTATTAGTTTCATTATAAGTTATCTTCTTTCAAAAAACAAATGTTGACTACTAGTTGACTAGATGTTGTAATATTAATTAATGAATGTACTTTATAAAAGTAATAATATAATATTTACTTAATTGTTTCATTTCTTCAAATAATACACTTTAATTTTGCATTATATCTCGAAGGAATCAATTCTTGTTGATTAACTTTTGTCGCATTAAGCACGTCATGTTAAGGAATTTCCCACCACAATATGTTGTTTTGAGCTGAAAATTCTAGATAAGAACTTTTCATTAAAAATATGGAGTAGTATATTTCAATGGAAATGCATGTGTTTGATGATAACACGTTTTTTGAAGGCCGATTTTCGTAATGAACAAAAAACATACACAACTTTTAAGGCTATCATAGAATATTGGAATTGTGATGAAGTATGAAAATAAACGACTTAGCCCTAGCTACCATGTAAATATTTCATGCCAGTCCATCCGCTGATTATAATATTTATGTATATTTTCAGGGATATCAATTTTGGACAGAGACAAACGATAAGGGAGAGTTCAAGATCAACGCAGTTAGACCTGGAATCTACAACTTGTATGCTTGGGTCCCTGGAATCCTTGGAGACTACAAATACAACCATCTAATTGTCGTCAGGCCAGGTTTGATTATTTAAACCGGGGAGAATCGCACTTTTAGTCCCTGAAATAATCACTATATTAAAATATCAGACTTGCATTTACGAGATTATAAATGTCACCCATCAATTGGTCATATTGATGTTGTAAATGTGGTCCTTTAAGGTATGAAATGTACTTATCTCCCACATTGTTCATTTCACCTTCAAAGTACCACATTTAACACAATATTTACAATTGAGGGGCGTCTTACCCTTTAATAAACCGCCTACCTACTACTATACCGAGTTTAATTAAAGTTTGCCAATTAATTAAGTAATTAATTGGGCTGGTGCAGGAGACAAGATTGATCTAAAGGATCTTGTATTTGATCCTCCAAGGAACGGTCCAACCTTATGGGAAATCGGAATCCCCGACCGCAAGGCATCCGAGTTTTTCATCCCCGATCCCGATCCTCACCTCGTCAACACCTTATTCCTCAACCACAAAAACGAAAAGTAATATGTTCAATTACTCGATCTATCGAGTTTAATTCAGTCGATGGACCTCTTTAATTTCTAGGCAATAATTTCATTTTATGAAAACAGGTTTAGACAATATGGGTTATGGGATCGTTATACAGATTATTACCCTGACAAGGATTTGGTGTACACAGTTGGCCAAAGTGATTACCGAAAAGATTGGTTCTTCGCACATGTTAATAGGTAGTCAACTCTATGATCTACGTACCTTTTATCCATTCCTATTTCTTATGAAACATTGAAACCAAAGTCAGACCAATTGATTAATCCTGTCTATCATGATAATATTTATATTAATTTTAATAAATACGTGTAATGTCACTGAAAGTTCATCGTATCAAAAAAAAAAATCAAATCAAGATTGTATCAAAGTTTTTTTGAAAGGAAGATTGTATCAAAGTTCGGCACCCAAAATCATGGAATTAATAGAAATTCCAATTGGTTATATATACGCAGAGTTGGAAGGAACAAAGCATATGAATCCACCACATGGAAAATTGTATTTAGGCTGAATGATGTGAGCGAAAGGGGGACTTATACACTTCGGATTGCGTTAGCTTCTTCCTCTTATGCCAATATTTTAGTATGTAATTATATCCCTTAATAACTTCCATCATTTTTTTGAGTGACCCTCCCTATATATGTAGAGCTAATAATGAATTCATATATTTATGGAGTATATAAAATGTGGTGACGGTATGTACAGGTTTGGATAAACAAGCAACATGGACGGCCCAACTTCATAATCAATGGGCTGTGGAAAGATAACGCAATTGCGAGACACGGAATTCACGGGCAATATTCGGAGCACACATATAATTTTTCCGGAGGCGAACTTGTGAAGGGAGAAAACACACTATACATAGAGCAGTCCAGAGGTGGAAGCCCATTTGTTGGAGTGATGTATGACTATATTCGCTTGGAAGGTCCACCGCCTCAACCCACGTACTAATCACGATCACGATTTTCGACTTCCGTGCATAAATGTGCACTAGTATCTCTTACGTATTCTTATGTATGTATGTGTTTCCTATTCAAATAATGATATCATATTAAAAATACTTGCAACTTATCCATAATATAGTCTCCACAAAGTAATAAGGACATATTTCGATTTTGAGCTTGTTCCAAAATGCAGGATTCGATCAATTTCTTGTTTGACAAATGAACTTTAACCTTTCTTTTACTTCAATAGTTCAATCTATAACATTATTATTATTATTACTCCGTATTATTTTAACTCTAATTACTTAACTTCTCAATCTACATATTTTACCTCACTCTCTTCATCTACTACGTAACCCACATGTTTTAATATTTTACCTCACTCTCTTCATCTACTACGTAACCCACATGTTTTGTCAGTAGCTATTAAGTTGAAAATTAAGGAAATACTGTATTTACTGTATACGGAGTATCATTGAGTATCCTACATGTTAGGTTTGCTTCACGTTTGAATCTTCTCTACTTTTTGGTTTTAGACTTCTAGTCCTTAATTAATACGGAGTATTTGCAACAAATTCTTACTTTAGATGCTTGTGTTTTTATTTTTGTTTTCTACAAGTATTTGGCGTTATGTGCAATATGATACTTCAATTCTCTGTTCCCAAATAACTTGCTCAAACTTGTACTCGCTACTTCAAGCCTTCAAGGCCTTGAAGTGTTAAAGTGTGCAATACCTCTAGAAATGTATCTTAAATTATGTGAAACCCTTACATTGAGAGTTACTTGGGAACGAAGAGTATGTTACTTTCTATTCACTCTCTAAATCCAGAAAAATCTCAATTTAGAACAAAATAGAATTGCTTACCTTTACTTCCTTCTATTCACTCTCTAAATCCAGAAAAATCTCAATTTAGAACAAAATAGAATTGCTTACCTTTACTTCCTTTTATGATTGTTTAGAACCCATAGTGGAGATAAAGCTAAATCATACAGAGTACTAAACATTTTGAATAATTGATGCCAATGAACCTCTCTATATATAACACTTGAGTATTCCAGAAACACAATTTGGTCAAAAAACAAATTAGAATCTCAGAGAACAGATAAATGAAATATGAACTTTTTCAAATTTTTACCTATAATATGGGAAGCATTAGCTAGTTAAATTGAGTTCAATTTGAGTTGTGAGAATTGGATCAAGAATTATACTGTAATAATTTGAAGGAAAAAAAAGAATTGTGAGTCAGATTGATCAGGTAGGTAAGCATCGGGTAAGAGATTATGAATGATGGAGTGATGATAATTGATAACATAGAATAAAAATTTAATCGTAATTAATATATACTGCTCAACGACAACCCCATTAGAGTACACAAAATTGGGACCCGACTAGATCGGGTCAGAGAGGCAGAAACCCGTGGAAATCAACAGAAGTGCCGCAGGGCTAATTTGGGCCATTGCAATTCATGAGAAGTGCTCCGACTGCTTCTTCATCCCACCCATGGAAATCCACAAACTCGTTCAGATTCGAACCCTCCCAACCAAATGCCAGAGGAAGCGCATTGCAATTCACGAACCCTTCCCAGTCAGAGCCGAGAGGAAGAGCGCTGCCGCCTTGAATTTCTTCTTTTTCAGACGCCGATTTTTCCACTACCGCACTCTCTTCTCCGCCTTTGTCTTGGGAGAGGAGTGCGGCGGCGGCGGCGAACGGATCTCCCAGAAAATATGGCTTCCCGGCAGGCGAATAGACGACGGCCGCGACCCGAGTTCCCGGAAATAGACGGCAGAGCTCCTCCGATTTCTTGAACAGCCCTTGACGCCGCTTGCTGAAGCATATGTTCCTCGCCTGCAAAGACTCGATCTTCTTTATCTCTATTTTAGCCTTCCCTTTCCCCGCCTTCTCATTCCCCATGATTTTAGGTTGGATGAATGAATCGTTATTTCTTCCTCTGCAATTCCCCTGCAAGCAGATACTGTGCCCGCTTGTGAAAGTGGAAACGAATTTCTTTGAGATAGTTTATTTATTACTCCCCTCCCTCTCGATTTAATTAATGGCATATATAAATAACTTTCCGCCGACTTTCTTCTCCAAAAAATAAAAATTCCACCGCCTTGAAACTTTGAAAGTTGAAACCAATTTCTTTTTAGAAAGTTTATTACTCTCCTCCCTCAAATTAATTTGGAAGAGTTGACTAACATAAGATATTTAAAAAGGAAATAAATTGAGTTTTACTTTGAACACATTTGGTAATATTCTAACCACTGTATTGACTGAGTCTGCTGAAATTTATGAATTTCAGACTAAATTGGCTGCATTGGATAATTCTGCTGATTTATAAAAAACAATATTTAAAATATATCTATTACTAAAATAAAGAACAAATTATATGAAAAATAGTTAAAATGATTTACGTTTATCCAAATCATATCTAAGAGTGCCCTTCCGCAAAGGGACAAGTTATGGTGGCTTTACGTTTGCTTCTACTTTTTTTTTGAACGAAACTGGCTTAACTTATCATTACCAAAACGACCACACAAAAGCAACTGCCATAGGTAACCGTGTGACGACAAGTTTCCTGTCTACTGTCCGCCCAAGGACCAGACTCAGAATTAATCACCTCCGTAGAAGCCATATAATTCGCTGATCCCGCTTTGGGCTTACCTGAGCCAATGACTTGTAGACACGACACATCAGCTCCTATATCAGTTTCATAAGTATCTTTGCTGGAAAAACACAGCACACCCAAAACAAAAATAATATCCAGAACGTGGAAAAAACACAAAACAAAATAACATAGGTAAATAAGTCTTTTGGCTAAAAGAGCCGAAATCAGCATCAAATCTTCTGGTGGGGTTGTGGGCCAGCACCCACCCCCTCCCCGTTTTTTGGAGAGTCCAGCGCCATAGCATCCTTCCCTGCTTCCTCTCTTATCTGTTCCTCCCACAAGCGCCTTCTCTTCAGCTCTCCAGTCATCCCATCCTCATCAAGCTCTCCTGGGACCCGGCCTTCCCCCCACCTGTCTTAGCACTCTCCCCTGTCTCATCGGACACCACCTCCTGTTCTGGCCTCATCATCTGTGTCATGTGCGGCTCCCCGCCAGAAGAGCTTCCTTCCGTTATCAACCATTTGCTGCCCAAGATTGACTTCGCCTTCCTTCCGCTAGCTCTAAGCCACGGCCCAAAAGGTCTGGCCATGGCTTGTCCATCCTTTTCATATAGCAGAGGGCAGAATCTCTTTGCATGTCCAATCATTCCACAGCAGAAACATAAACTTGGAAACTTCTCATACCTAAAATCTACCCATTATCCTTCACCTTTGTGGTTCCAATTTTTAAGGCCTTAGCAGAATTCATTCGAACTCTCACCCGCATATAAGCCTCCTTTTTGTCATTATTTTTCTGTTCATCCCACCTAACAAATTCCCCCAGAAAATTCCCTATTCTCCTTGCCGTACCCAAGTTTTCAAGACTATACGACACATTATGAACCTGAACCCATATTTCAAATTCATCTAGCACCATCTTAATTGGAATGTCCCCCGGATTAATAGCTCTTAGCCCAATCAGACTCTGGTCATACAGCCATGGTCCATTTTCCAGGACCCGGTTCATATCAATGGGGTGAAAAAACTTAAAGAGATACCTTCGTTCGCCGATTTCTTGTACAGTCATCCCTTTGACCGGGCGCCATAGCTCCGCCATGAATCCTCGGAAGAACGGGAAGCGGATAGCTTTATCTGTGAGAATCGTCCCAACCACCGGAAAAACCTTTACCTTCTGGCTCCTCTACCGCGACCACGTCTTCATCATCATCAATTAGCAGCTCGTCGTCCACACCCCCGATTCCCAGCCCTCTGCATCTTTCGACAATCTCCCCCACATGTTCATTCTCCCGGTCGCGAAGCTCCCTTCTTGCCTCGTCCTCGATGGCCTCCATTCCGGCTCGAAAAGCTGCTCCGTCTCTCGGCCTCCGTCGCGGTGCTCCGTCTTCGATTAGCGTCGCACGCAGAACGACGAGAGAAAATCCCTCAGCTTTCGCTAGGGTAACACCGACTAATACTCCATTTGCATTGCTTCTACTTTAAAAAAATGATTTTTTAAAGTAGTTTTGGAAAAAGTGCTTTATAATAAAAGTTGATAGTTTATGATTTATCAATGGATATCTAATGCTCATTAATTAATAAAGTCACAAACTCATTTTATGATAATTATTATTGTGACTTTTTCTTTATTAATATTTAGTCCCTGAATATTATGTTTAGTAGCTAACTAAGTACGTGACTTAATTGTGGAATGCTACACTTTAAAATAAGCATAATATTCTAATAGTCTCTGGTCTAATATTATTAAGTTGGGACATTAATAATTAATAGACCAGTATGTGGATTAACTGATGGCTATATTCCACTAGTCATGAGTATAGAGATATCAAGTTAATAACATAGATGCTTATTAGTGAACAAGTTCATTGGACAGACCCAACTTGAGGACACTACTAGGTTGTATGTCATCAGTGTTGTCCTCGATAATGGTGAGGTGCTATATTCTTATACTTGAGATAATCATGACTACTTACATGAGAATTAATATGTATTAACACCATTAAATGTTATATTTAAATAGGTAATTATAAAGGTGGTGATTGTACATATTATGAACCATGTAGTGGTATGCGAATTATCAAGATAGTTTTTGTCACTCTCGTATAACGAGCGAAAGATATCTATTGGGCCCTTTAACAAGTAAGATTAATCAGCATGGCCATGCTCAAATGAAGTGTCATTTGTTCAAGATTAATCTTACTTGGTAATCAAGAAATATTAATTGAGAATAACAAGGATGACACGACTTAACTTTGTCTCAATTAAAATATCATTTGACAAAAGAGAATTATTAGCAAAAAATAATCATTAAAATGTTATCTCAAATTTAATAGACATTTATATATTTTGGATAGTCATAATGCTTTGCTAGAAGCCGCTTATGATTTGTGAGCCTCGAATTAATTTTCCAGCCCACTGCCAACGATATATAAACATACATGGTCACACATTTAAGGAATTTGGGTCGTTAATATTTGTTAATAACATTAAAATAGCCTGATTAGCCCAATCCAAAATAGGTATTCGAATGGTATGGGGCTAAGGCTCCAGGAGAATTTTATTAGCTATAAAACTCCTTCTTTCCTCCTCTTATAAATAGGGCTAAGGAGACCCACAAATTCTAAGAGTTAAAATTCACATCTAAAAACCTAGAGAGAGAGAGAGAGAGAGAAAGAAGAGAACGCTAGCACATTCCCTGCGGGCGATCCAGTCACGTGCGTGTGGATACTGATAGAGCTTGGGATCATTTTCTCAGACTGTCTAACATCCTTGCTTAAGATTACTAAGTAAGTCTCTCTTATGTCTTGTAATTTCGTTTATAGTAAGAACATCACATCCGATTGTTTAACTTCTGGGTAGTAATTTTTCGTTTATTCCGCTGCTTTTTTCTGCCCAAAACCCAACAGTGGTATCAGAGCCTAGGGTTCTTAATTATATTCGGGTTACCTGATTTGATGTACAATCTGTAATTTGATTATTTTGGGATTTATTTTTGGAATTAATTTTTTATTAATTTCGGAGTTATTGATGTATTAATTTCGGAATTTATATGTGAATATTTCGAATTTGATCCAATATATATTCACAATTATATTTGAAATATTTTGTGATATTATTTATTTTTTTCGGATCAGATCTGAATTGAATTAGGAATTGGATAAAATCCTACTGCCTAGTTATTCGGAAGGGATCTGAATGGACATGAAATTCAAGAATTTGAATTAAATCCCAATTGATACTCATAATTTATGTTAGGAATATTTTATGATATTATTTTTTTCGGATCAGATCTGAATGGAATTAGAAATGGATAAAATCCTACTGCCTAATTTTTCAGAAGAGATCTGAATGGATATGAAAATTCAAGAATTTGAATTAGATCCGAATTGATACTCATAATTTATGTTACGAATATTTTATGATATTATTTATTATTTTTTGGATCAGATCTGAATGGAATTACAAATTGGATAAAATCCAACTGCCTAATTATTCAGAATGGATCTGAATGGACATGAAAATTCATTTTTTTTATAATTAGATCATGGTTTATATTCAGAATATTATTTTGAATTTTGTGAGATTTGGTTTCTAATTTTTCGGATGAGATCCGAATTATTTTGGCAACCGCTGGCTGATGAGCTGTATTTGTGTATAGGGCAATCTTGTTTTGGCCGTAACTTTTGACTCGTTAATCCGTTTCCGGCCTATAAGTACTTTTCGGAAATGGGAAGACGAGCTTTCCTTGATTAGTGTTCTCGAGGCCCTCGACCTCCTGGTGGTGGAGATGCTCGTCTCACGGCCCTCGGCCGTGATGGTCTTTTCTTCATGCGTCATGATACCTACACACTTGTAGTTTCTTCTTTTCTCGACCGGCCATGAACGCCTCTGCGTATGTTTCCGAACATCATTGATCTTCTTGCTCGGGTATATCGAACGGCTCCGAATGATTGTGATTTCTCGATTGGCCATGTACTTCTTGTTTTTTTCTGGCCAATCATGAATGTCTCCGTGCTTCATGATCTCCTCGTCCGAGCTGACCGAACGGCTCTGAATGTAAATATTCCTTCTTTCCGTTGCGAGTCATGAACGACTCTGCGCTTCATGATCTCCCCGTTCGAGCTCATCGAACGAATTTCACTGCACAATGAGCATGGTAATATGGCTGCATGGCCAAACAATATATACAAGTATATACACACATATGTATAACATTCCTTTTGTTTCATTCAGGACCACCGGTCGAGCTAGTAGTAACAACCCTTGGCCTGGATTTGGTTCTCAGACTGCCAGAGTCCACGACCGGAACCACCTAGTGGTTTGCCGGGTTGCTCTCAAAAAAGCAAGTACGTACTTCGCCCTGTACTGGGCACAATTCCCGTTCGGGCACTCAATGTCACGTGGGACCATGAATCGTCTCAAAATTAACATATGTCATCAGGGACGCTTCATCCAATTAATTTGGCCCGATCGGGGGTGGACCGATACGCCCAGTCAAGCCAAGCATCTATTTAAAATGTTGGTGATCTTACTAATAAAAAATCATTCGGCACTATTCTGTTCAGGAATTTTAATCCCTAAAATCGGAGTAATATCATTCGGGGGCACTCCGATCACTTACTTTCAGCTGATCGCGGGTTGGCCGGTCGGCCAATCAAACCAATCATTTAATTTTAAATGATGGTGGACCTATCACTGGAGCTTTGCTCGGTCATTATTTAATTCGGGATATTTTAATCCCTATAAAATAATGGTGATAACAAATGTTGCCAATAATGCTATTTGAGATTAATTAGCAAGTGAGAAATTGGGGTACTTAGCTGGATAGGCTGATCTTCAGCTGTTAGGCCAAGTTATAGGCCCGGAGAATTTAATTTGTCAAAGGTGATTCAGCCCAACATATTCCCTTGCCAGATCAACGGTTGCCTCCATAAGTCCAGATTCTTATGGACTCAGTCTAGCCTAGGGATGTCAAAAAAACCTGACCCGCAATGACCCGCCCTGGCCCGAGACATTTGGGGCGGGTCCGACCCGCCCCGTCTTGCAAATGGGGCAGGTCCGCCCCGCCTATACAATGGGGCGGGTCCGGGTATTAGTATTGACCCGTGCCGCCCCGACCCGCCCCGTCCCGACCCGCTCATTATATAAGTATACATATTTTTTCTTAAATTATACTACAAATATACTTCAACATACATATGTGTGTATACAATAAATCATAACTTTTTTTATCTTATAATATATTAATATATATATATTATAATATACATATGTGTTACTATATATTAATATAGTAACAACTCCCCACAAATAAAAAATACATAAAAGCAAATTAGGTTTTGACGGAGCGGGGCGGGTCATGGGTCAACAAGTTTGGACCCGTGCAGGTCACGGGGCGGGGCGGACCCGCCCCGCAAAGTCACGGGGCAGGTCCGGGTCTTGCAGTACCCGCCCCGACCCATTGTCATGCCTAGTCTAGCCTAGGGCTGGGCACGGGCTAGGTCGGGGCGGGTAATGCAAAATAAAATGGAACCGCCGGTTCCATTGTACGGTCCGGTCTGGTTTGGGTATTACGATTTTCAAAATAGGAACCGGACCTTACCCGGCCCGTTTGAAACGGGTCGGTCCGGTCCGGGTTTTACGGTTTCTATTCTCATGTCTTAAAATTAGTAAAAACTCACGAAGTTACAAAAATCAATAATCAATAATATAGTACATTAGCAGGTTTCAAAATAACAACATAGTGGTGCACATGTAACACAAGTGACAAGTCCAATACTTTTGTTTCATGCAGTTAATATGGTAAGTTGTATTTTTTCTCACAATTTTCTAGATTAGCTATAGTATTTTTTATCATAGAGTTTTTCTTGCGCTAGTTTTTTTTTTTTAATTTTTTGAAATTGCTTTGCTTTGTTTTTGGGATTGCAATTTTTTCACTACTTTTTTTGGGATGTCTTGAACCGTCCCGTTTTGTCCCTGTACCGGTTTAAATGGGACAACAAAAGTACGTCTTGTCCCGTCCCGTTCCGAACCGTTGTTATAAAATGGGTTCGGTACCGGGACGACCCAATTCCCGTTCCGTCCCGGACCGTGCCCACTCATACAAATGGCACGGGACTTGAGATAGTTGGTATTGTGTGGTGGAGAATTGTGCAAAGGAGACATAAATGTGTAAGAAATGTTGTGAACTACAAATTCTTTATTAAAAAGGAAAAATGGAATTTTATTTTGTAACGTCCAAAAAGAAAAATTGGAAGTTCTTTTAGGGCTAGAGGAGTACTATGTATTGCAAAGTACTTAACAACAAAAACATGATATTTATTTGGAGAGCCTAAATGGAACTTAAGTTACACGAAATGGAATATTCAGGTACTAAAGAAGTACGTACTAACGGGCAGCCAGCGGTTTATTCAGGTAAAAACAATGTCCAGCCCCTAATAGGGGTAATAATTGAAGAGGTTCTTGGCGAGTGCTTCTACATTGTCTTCATCATCTTTCCAGTGGTTCAAATTAGAGACCTCATTCATAACTTCTTCCTCCTCCTCCTCTTCGTCCTCCTCTTCTTCTTCTCCTTCCCGGCTAGGGTCATTAACCCAACCATTGATCTCATGATGAGAGTAAGAGCCAAGAGAAGAGACACCGCCTTGACCTTCTTCGCCTTGGAGGAGTGGGAAGACGGCGTTCGGATCTCCCGTGATGTAGGCTTTCCCAGCCGGTGAAAGAACGGCGACCACGACCTGGCTTCCGGGAAATAGACGGCAGAGCTCCTCGGATTTCTTGAATAGGCCTTTACGGCGCTTGCTGAAACAAGTATTCCTTGCCTGCAAAGACTCTATCTTCTTCATCTCTATTTTAGCTTTCCCTTTTCCCATTTGATTTTTTTTGGCGAGCGCAGGTAGCTAAGCTAGCTGGTGGAGAGAACGTATACGTATATGCAGGACTTACTGCTTTGATCTTCACCAATTCATGATCGTATACACACACATATATATAAGTAGAAATTGATCATCCACTCCAGCTATTTCCTAATTCGTTTTAGGAAATTTGACCAAATCCTTAGTGCTTCAATATGTCTTTCTACATGTTCACACTGCGTTTGTCATTTTGTCACTGTCTTTGGTGTATGCTCGAACATTGTATGTACTACACCATCTCAAGCCCGGGGGCTTGGAACTTGAATTCCAACGACACTCATCCTACCCTTAATTATGATCGACCAATATCTCTATTTTTTTAATTAATCGATCATACGAGGCATGAAAAATGTTGCAAGTTGGAAAGCTAAGTAACATTAATGTGCAATAATAATTGTAGAATAATGGTTTACCATTTGAGGGTGTCGTGATATAATATTTATAATGAATAGAGAATGATAAAATTGTAAATATTGTTGGAAAATGTGTTAAAAATTGCATTAAATAGTCGATGTTGGGCAATATTTTGAGTGGGGTCCACTTCCTATTTGGGTCTGGTCAAAGTGGTTTTGGACTTTCCTTGTTAAGAGCTTCAATTCGATATGTGGTACACTCAAAACGGATAACGGGTGAATGAGAAATTAATTCTCGAATTTCACTCGTTGAAATGGAGAAACTATGAAAATGATGAGTTTCTAGTGTGAAATTTCCCACAACGAAAAACCCAATGGATTTTCACCCCCTTATAAAACGAACCTTCTTTGAACGAGTTAAGATTCCTAGATGGAAAGGCTCTTTTCGCGCGCAGGGGATGCTGATTAAATCTCGAAAATGGTTAGAAGTGATCGAGGTGATGAGTATGAAGCACCAATTGATGACTTTTGAGCGAGCGTGGGTATTGTACAGGAACGTACCGCATCCTATTCGCCTCAACCAAACGGGGCGAAGTAGTCTTGTCAAGCAACTATCTTTTAAATAAGGTACCCCGGAAAAAATATGATAAAACTACGTACGAGTTGTGGAGCGGAAAAAACCTTTCTATCAATATTTAAAAGTGTGGGGTGTCTTGCAAAGGTGCTTGTACCAATACCTAAGAAAATAAAAATAGGTCCAAAAACAGTAGATTGTATTTTTATTGGGTATGAACAAAATAGTAGCGCTTATCGTTTTTAGGTGCACGATTCGATTAATCCATGTGTATATAAAAACACAATAATTGAATCAAGGAATAATGCATCATTTGACCAAGCACGTCAAAATGAACGTTTGACGTAGCTATGAAAAATACAAGTGATAGGTACGGAGAAGAAGCAGAACCCAGACCTAGCAAACGTGCTAGAATAGAAAAATCCTTCGGCCCGAATTTTCTTACATACTTGGTAGAATTTGATTCCGACATTCTAACATGTATGGTAGAAAATGAACCAGATTTTCCAACATGTTTGGTAGAAAAATGAGCCACGAACTTACAACGAAGTCGTAATGTCTACCGAAGGTCCGATGTGGAAAGAAGCCATCAAAAGTGAGGTGAAATCTATCCTACAAAATCACACGTGGGAATTGGTTGATCTTCCTCCGGGATGTAAACCTTTGGAATCCAAGTAGATTTTAAACGAAAAATGAAACCAGATGATTCCTGATGAGCACTTTGTCGTGGTGTGCACTTCAAATAAATATTCAATACAACAATTATACGTATTATAATGAAGAAGGGTTCGTATCCAAAGGGAAAGGAATACTTCTCTTTTTATGTAACTAGTAACTAGGGGGGTTTAAAATTTGATTTGATAAACTTAAATTATATTTAAACACTAAGTTGAACGACTTATGTGGTTTACTTAATAGAGATGAAGACTTGGCTTTGCTTTTATCCACTTAAATGTTCGTCGATCCCGGTTATATCGAGGAGTATATCTAGTTCATCGAGGGTAGTTATTAATCACGAGATGCGTTCATTAATAAAACTTACTACCGAGTCAATATAGAACAAGCGTCTTATATTAGCGTATATTAACCCGATAGTAGCAATAAACTTAAGATGAAAACGATTGAGATTGATAACCTCAACACAAACGATTTATTGGTTTAATCACTATAATTAATTCTCCTTAGATTATTAACCATGAGACGCATGCATTAATAATTCAAGTTTACTACCATGAAAAGACTGAACGATTAACAAGCGTATTCGTCGATCGATTCTAGTAATAATTAATATATGAAACAAAACTAGTTGATCCTTTAAGTAATGTTAAAAATATAAATATGAAATATGAATAGGAATTAATTAATATTCAAGGAAGAAGATTAAAGTAAATACAGGTTACTATAATTAATGTTGAGATGTTAACTAATTGTTATCTTAGCAACACTCTCCAGCATTAATATAGAGATAGATTAATTAATATCCAAGGAAGAAGATTAAAGAAAATAACTCACAACTTACAATTCATTAAGCTTCAAAGTAGCAAAATCAAGATGGAAGAGTTTAGCTCCTCATTTGGAGACTAAACATGATAAAAATATAAAGAAAGACCTTGTCTAAACTGAGCTTAGAAGTGTATAGGAATTGGTGATCTCATGTGAAGGAAGGGGGGTGTATTTATAGGCTTTTGGGGCTGCAGGTCATGTACCTGATCGGGTACATATAGGGTACCCGATCGGGTATCTCTAGAACTTCAAACCAGAGGTATACCCGGTCGTCTTCAGAGTAGAAATTAAAGGCATACCTGATCGGGTGTGTCGGTGTACCCGATCGCGTATGACAATAGATCGTGGCCAAATTTTTCCATGCACGTCCCTTTGTTTCCTGAACTGATCTGATTGAAAATCAAGTTGGTACCCGATCAGGTATAGGGTATACCCGACCAGGTACAGGTCAAAAATCAGGAGATTTCCTTTTTTGTCTTGTATCCTTGCACCCTCCTTCCACTTTTGGTTTCACGAATGATCATTTGATTGATGTTGGACCTGTTTTAGCTCAGAATGAACCTAATCTAAACAAATTACAAATATTACACAAACATAACTATTATACCAAAAGTGTGTAATTTCCAAAGTATCAAACAACAAAAACTAACTAAAAACACAAACATACATACGGAAATTACAAGGGTATCAGTTCCATTGACAACTACAAGGTCTGACTTGTAATCAAGGGATACAAGCAACGTGAAGGTCATAATTACTTTGACATGTATTCTGTTGTAACGAGAATAAATTCCATCAGGATGATACTAGCAATTGCCGCATTGCGGAAATTGGAAGTTCATCAAATGGACGTAAAAACCGCTTTTCTAAATGGCAATATAGACGAAGAAATCTATATGGAACAACTCGAGGGATTTCGTGTTCCTGGCCAAGAAAGGAAAGTGTGTAAATTAATTAAGTCATTATATGGATTGAAACAAGTCTCTAAGCAGTGGCACGAAAAGTTCGATCATTCAATGTTAATTAATGGTTTTAAAATAAACAAAAGTGACCAATGTGTCTATGTGAAGAGAACAATAGACGGTTATGTCATCTAGTGTTTCTACGTGGATGATATAATCATCGTTGGTAGTAATAATCTAATGATTAATTCTACCAAAAGTATGTTAAATTCTAAATTTGACATGAAGGATATGGGGCTGACCAGTTTAACCCTTGGGATTAAAATAATTAGGTGACCAGATGATCTTGTTATAAGTCAATCCCATTACGTTGATAAAATCCTTACGAAGTTTAGTAAGGATGACTATCAAGAGACAATGACGTCATTAGATAAAAACGTACATCTGTCCAAAAATCGTGGAGAGTATTTCTCAAGTAGAATACGCTAAGATTATTAACAGCTTAATGTATCTAATGAGTTGTACCAGGCCTTATATTGCCTTTGTGGTTAGCAAGCTAAGTAGATATACTAGTAACTCTGGTGATGAACACTGGTCGACAATAGTAAGAGTTTTGAGGTATTTACGGAAAACACAAAACCTTGGACTACACTATGTCATATCCACAAGTGGATATGTTTTCACTTTGGGAGATGCAGCCGTGTCATGGAAATCCTCGAAACAAACCGTAATAGCTAGATTCACGATGGAATTTGAGCTAATATCCTTGGATAAGTGCACTAAAGAGGCTGAATGGCTACGCCATTTTCTTGAGGATATTCCAACTTGGGAAAAGCTTGTCCCTCCAATCTGCATACATACCGATTATTGACATTCATGTAATTTCCGTATTTAAATTTGTGTTTTTAATTAGTTTCGAGTGATTGTTACTTTGGAAATTACACACTTTTGGTGTAATTAGTTTAGTTTGTAAAATATTTGTACTATATCTAGATTAGGTTTATTCTGAGCTCAAACAGGTCCAAGTACACTTTGGAGACCATTGGTGAACATCACAAGTGCAAGGAAGGTGCAAGAATACAAGAAAAAAAGTGAAGATCTCGTTTTTGGTCTGTACCCGGTCGGGTATGACCTATACCCGGTCGGGTACCCTTCTGAAAAATCGAATCAAATCAAATCCGGGAACAAGGCATCATGCGGGAGGATTTTAACATGTTCGGGTGTCCATACCCGATCGGGTGACCGACAGACCCGATCGGGTATGACCCCTTTTCCAGCTTCGAAGAAGCCACCTTTTATACCCGATCGAGTGAGCTGAAAGCCCGATCGGGTACACGACCCTGCAGGCCTAAAAAGCCTATAAATACACCCCATTTCCTCCACAAGAAAACCACCAATTCACATATACTTCTTAGCTCAGTTTAGACAAGTTCTTTCTTTATATTTTTCATCATGTTTAGTCTCCAAATGAGGAGCTAAACTCTTCCATCTTGGTTTTGCTACTTTGAAGCTTAATGAATTGTAAGTTGTGAGTTATTTTCTTTGATCTTCTTCCTTGAATATTAATTAATTCCTATTCTTATTACATATTAATATTTTGAGCAATCCTTAAAGGATCAACTAGTTTTGTTTCATATATTAATTAATACTAGAATCGGTCGATTAATACGTTTGTTATTAACTCGGTCCTTTCACGGTAGTAAACTTGGGTTGTTAATGCATGCGTTTCGTGGTTAATAAGCCAAGGGAAATTAATTATATTGATTAAACCA